GGTTTTCTAAAGCATTGGAAGTCTGTCGAAGGTGAAAAAATGGACCAATGAGTGAATTAGGCTGATCTGCTTTGTGTTTCGTGCAAATTCTAACCCTGATTCAGCATTTCAACCAGAGTGGAACCAGAGTTGGTTCTGAAATTAATGCAAAAAAACAAAAATCACTCCAAGTACAGCTGGAATTTATAAAAGGCTTTTCAAACCTTGCAGTCAGTGCTTTATAACGCACCCTCCACACCGGGGCTCCCAGTTGGTCGGGGAGGATCCAGAACCCAAACTCCCCTTGCTGCTCCCCCGAGAACCAGACCAGACAGACCAGAAATGAGGCGCACCCCGCCCTGAGAGCAGCTCTGATCCTGGGAGTCAGCGGAGGGACAACCAACTCGACCTCCACACCACCAGAGGGAGCGGTTAGAGCAGAAGGTAGAGCGTGAAAGGCGCTGCTGAGACAAGACCAGGAGGAACCAACTAGCTGGAAAGGAAAGAAGAAGGGAAGAGTGGAGAGAAAGAGGACAGAAAGAGTAAATAAAGAGAAGCTGAGGATCAAGAGAGATGAAGAAGATGGGAAGAAAGAAAAAGATAAACACAAAAGACACTAAAGACACAAGAAGTCTGACTGAAAAAGAATAAAGTAGGAAACCAGGCTGAGAAGTTCTGATCCAGGCCACCCGGTACCGGGCTGAGAAGTATGAGAACCTGTCACACAACATGAAGTAGACAAAGGTACGTGGGCTAAAGGCTGATTTATACTTCAAAACTATGTCATCTGTGTAGGTGTTGCAGTGAGTAAAAAGATGTCCCCGCCCCCTTCCGCAGACGCTCCACTGCTCCTCTCCCACATTGTAGGTGACGGCAGACACCGCCGCTGACCGCAGACAGCGCCGCTGACATGAGGCTGGCTTGGTTTTTTTTATGAACGAAATTGCGGAAAACAACTCGTGAAGTTTGACCAGCTAGAAGAGCGAGGTGCGCGAAATCGCTGGGACCCTTTTTCCTCCTAGATCCCCGCTCTTTTTCGCTCTCATGTCCTACGTTGTCGGACAAACTTGGCGATCGGAGGAACCATTCATCATCTGAGGGGCCTCTTACCGGGTATCTTCAGGTTGAGGTCACACACACCGCCGACGCTGACAACAGATGCCGCCTTCTGGCGACGGGTGATGCTCTCCCGGATCCGACCTTCACCGGTCACCCTCACTGTGAACGGACTTCCTGTTGATAAAACGCGGACAGCTGGATCAATGCTCTAGCCTGCAGCAGGAAATCTGCAGCTCTGAGCGTCATTTCTAGCCGTTCTTGCCTGGAACGTGTTCCTCTGCAAAGCGGATGGACACAATGTAGTTTCCAGGTTCAGTGGGGCAGTAGGTGACTCCACACGTCCCATCCTCCATGTCCTTTGTCTGAATGTCCACCTTGCTAGGACCTTCAATGGACAGAGCCAGACCACCATAACCTGTCCAGAGACACAGATCCTGTGTTTAGGGTGAAGGGCACCACGTCGGCGCCATCAGACAGAGCGCTGAACTGACCCGCCTCCCGTGTGTCGACCACAAAGTCAGCATTGGTGAAGGTGCTGGCCTCCACCAGACCATCTCCGTGTACTTTGACTCGTCCTGCGTCTCCGATCTCAGACTGGACCACCATGATGGTGATGGGGCTGTTGGCGATATGGTGGCCATTCTTCAGTATGCTGACCTGGTGCTCACCCACCTCCCGAGGGATGAAGGAGATGCCTGCAGAGGTAAATGACAATAAGCGGACTGCTGGGTGTGTTCTACCTACAATGTGGGGTAATTCAACTGCTGTCCTTTGACCTGGGGTTGGGTTTAGGACTAAGGTGTGGATTCGGTTTGAGTCAGGATTAGGTCTATGTTGGTAATGGGCAGGCTTAGAGTGACGGTCTTAATGTAAGCCAATGAAAACAAAGCTGTGAGTGTTACCAATGTGGTTGTTTGCCATCCTCTTTAGCAGGCAGGGCTCATCCTGTCCTGAAGGCGATCTGATGCTGGCGCTCAGCACACTCAGGTCGCTCTCATTGATGTCCAGAGAGAAATCTGCTGCTGAGCCCAGTTTGACCTGCGAGCGGCGCTGGTTGTCCTCTGGAGGCCCGAGACAGGAGGAGAAAGAATTATGTCATATGAATGAACACTGGAGCTATAACCTGCTACAATGCATTGCTCCACCTTCTGAAGTTAATGCATAGTTCACAATTCTCCTTGCATCTTTACAAAACATCTTTATATGAACTGGATGAAGGTTCAACTAGGTTAGATGTTGCTAAGGACCACTGAGCATGCTAACATCTAGACGACCATCCAGTGCCCATCTGGCTGATTTCTCACTAAATGATGAAGAACATTTTACAGTAACGATGATGTCACTGATCATTACTGAAAATAAAAAACAAAAAAGAATCGGTGAGACATCTGCAACCTAAAAACTGGAACCTTTTTTAGCAAACAGTGCTTCATTTTTTTATCGTCATTTCATGGCCTTTCCCTACTGCTGCTCCTTCATTGGACGACCTGCTGTAGGAATGAAGCTTCAGAGGAAAAAAATGTTCAGTTTGTCTCTGAACAATATGGGCCTGGTCATGAGCGTGTTGATGCGGGTTCTGACCGGTGATCCTTGCAGTAAATGGGCTGCCCTCGATGTGATCATCGTTGTATTTAACCAGGATGTTGTAATCTCCGGGCAGCGTGGGAAGGTAGCTGACGCTGCATGTCCCGTCTTTGTTATCCACGCAGCTAATCTCCGCTTTGGACGGACCCTCAATAGCTAGGTCCAGACCTCCTGGACAAAGAGGTGTTATTAAGTAACATACACTCAAACAGGCAAAACTGAAGCTTAAGAAATGTATCTATGTGAGGTGACAAATCTCTCCTGTAGCTGCTGTACCTTCAGAGGCATCGTCTGTGAAAACGGTGAACATTGCCACCTTGTTGGCGGTGCCGTAGCTCAGTCCAGGACCGTAGGCTGTGACATTGGGACTGCTGGTGTGGTTGACAAAGAACTGAAGAGGCGACTCTGCAAGGAAAATAGACATTGAATCCTTCCCGCCTTCGATCTAACCTTTCCTTCTGAATATTTGAATAGAAGGAATAAAGGCGCGGCCTTTAAAACGAATACATCTGCACTGGAAACAGTTTCCCATTTTAAAATGCATGTTTCTACGAATGTGAATGAACAGGTTGTAGTTCCGTCGCTGGACAGCAGGTGTCTCCAAACTCACCCCTTGCTCACACTGGCTCCGGTGCGGTTACCGAGCCGACGGAG